ACTTATTTCTAGATTGTTTTTGCAGTGTATGCAAGGTATTTTTCCAATGGAAAAAAGATGATTAACATTTAGAATAAGAAAAAACAACAAAAACTACTTATTTCTAGTGGAGAATATGTACAGTCATATGAAGAAGTTTGGGCACCCCTATTAATCATAAATATTTGGGTGTTTGCAACAGCTATTTCAGTTTGATACATCTAATAACTGATAGTAATATTTCAGTATCGAATGAGGTTTATTGGACTAACAGAAAATGTGCAGTATGCTTTAAAACAAAATTTGACCGGTGCAAAAATCTGGGTACCCTGATCATTTTATTGATTTGAATACCCTTAACTACTTTTCACTGACTTACTGAAACATAAAATTGGTTTGGTAACTTCATTAAGATTTGAACTCCATAGCCAGGTGTATCCAATCAGGAGAAAATGTACTTAAGGTGGCCGGTTGCAAGTTGTTCTCCTGTTTGAATCTCCTGGGCTCCTCAAAACAAGTCTAAAATGATCTGAAAACAAAGATTGTTCAACATAATCGTTCGGGGGAAGGATACAAAAAGTTGTCTCTGAGATTTAAACTGTCAGTTTCCACTTTTAGGAACACAGTAAGGAAATAGAAGACCACAGGGACAGTTCCTGTTAAGCCCAGAAGTGTCAGGCCAAGAAAAATATCAGAGAGGCAAAGAAGGGTGAGAATGGTCAAGGAAAACCCACAGACCACCTCCAAAGACCTGCAGCATCATCTTGCTGCAGATGGTGTCACTGTGCATCGTTTAACAATTCTGCACACTTTGCACCAGGAGAAGCTCTATGGGAGAGTGATGCCACAGAAGCCTTTTCTGCAAGCACAAACAGAATTGCTTGAGATATGCAAAAGCACATGCTTTGGGGCTGCGTTACCAATGCTGGCACTAGGAATCTTTTTAAAGTAGAGGGTCGCATGGATTCCACTCAATATCAGCAGATTATTGAGAATAATGTTCAAGAATCAGTTAAGAAGTTGAAGTTACATCCGGGATGGATATTTCAGCAAGACAAAGGATCCAAAACACCGCTCCAGATCTACTCAGGCATTCATTCCGAGGAACGATTCCAATGCCCAGACCTGAATATCATTGAACATCTGTGGGATGATTTGAAGCAAGCAAGACCAAACTTAATTGAACTGGAATTGTTTTGCAAAGAATGGTCAAAAATCCCTTCATCCAGGATCCATGAACTCATTAAAAGCTACAGGAAGCGGCTGTTGTTTTTGCAAAAAGAGGATCTACTAAATATTAATGTCTCTTTTTATCTTAGGTGTCCATGTTTCTGCACCTGTCAAATTGTGATTTAATGCGTACGGCACATTTTCTGTTCAATAAACCTCAATTCAATACTGAAATATTACTGTGTCCGTCAGTTATTAGATATACCAAACTTAAGTAGCTGTTGCAATATTTAGAAATAACAATAATTAGGATTAATAGGGATGCCCAAACCTTTTCATATGACTGCAAGTATCTTATTCTAAGGGGGAAAAATACTCGTTCCATTGTCAGCTCATCTTATTCACCTGCTCAATTTAAGGGCAAATTGGCTTGTTTTAGGAAAAAATTATCAGGTTTTGCAGTGAGACAAACTAAATCATCCTGACTTTATAAATGTTAAAATCTTGCTTAGGAAGAAAAAGTTTTCTATAAAATATAGAGACATCTGCAAAGTTAAAAAGTCAGATCATTTCTCCTGGAAGTGTGCGGACTTCACGGACTGGTTGGGCGATCATCACTCTTCACCTTCGCTGGGTTTGCAATCCAAGATTTATGCCTTTTCTGTTCAATATGGTGAAAAGAAACAAGGTCAGTTCCTTTTTAGACAGAAATGGATAAAAAAGCTGCAACAACTTAAGAACGACAAAGCATTGTTGATGAGATTGTGTAAGAAGCTGTATTCAGGCTGTGCGACTCGTTTCCCACATGGGCATTGAAGTCTCCCAGTAGAATATCATAATAGCAATCCACCTTAAGTTTCTCCGTTAAGCTGTTTTCAGAGAGATCTGCGATACAACAGTTATCAGCTGCTATATTTCACAAAATCATGCCAAATAACCAGCATAGGCTTCTTTCACACCATTTTTCATAGATTTCCATGTCTGATCATTTATTTTAGCATATTTGACAAGGGTGGCAAAGGTTAATGGGTCTCCTCTATTCAGAAAATGTTTTATACGCCTGACGGGTAGAAACCAGTCTGTTGGTTGTAATTTATTTAAAGTACCACTAGATGGGGGTAAATCTTACACACTGCTCCTTTAAGACTAACAAAAAACAGTGCAAACTTCAGACAGGATGATGATTAAATGACATTTAAAGCGTCTCTTACTGGTTTGTTCTTGTGTGAAAGTGATATAGGAGTACACCAGGCTGCCAGCAATGCTGTTAAAAAAAGAAGAAATAACTTTTTCATAACATGCTAATCTCTGGAAATCCATCAGCTAAGTTCGTCAGTCTTTGCAGTTTCCTCCTCCTATAACCGAATCCAGAAAAACCGATTTGTTACCTGATGTTTAGACCTAAGAAGTTCAGCCAGGTGAATATATAATCTCCTCCAAACACCATCCCAATGTACGTGACCAGGATGTTCTGAGAAAAAGTGCAAAACAAAGCTTAATATATGCATTACTTCATCCATGAGAGACTGCATGCAAAGTGAGGCGACCTACTTTGATGCAGCCGATAATGGAGGTAGTGAGTGCTGAGTTACACTGCGTGCACAGCATGATGGAGTACATCAAGACAAAGCTGTATGAACACAGAGGAAGAAAGACTCAGAAACACTCAGTATTAAAAAAAGCAAGGTTGAGTCTTGTATCTATGTTACCCCATGACGCAGGAGAGCACAAACTGCACAACAAACAGCTGATCAGCCCATCCTTGGTATTCCAGTCCCTGTTCCCAAAAAAAACACGTCAACAGTGTCACCAGCTATTATAGAAACTTTACAAACCATCAAGATGAGCATTAACTGATCTTTATTTTGAGCTTTTGATGATCCCTTAAGCTTACATCTTTATTTTTCCAGGGTGGAGGGATTACAAAACATTACATGTTTATTGACAAGTCTTTGGGGTCTAGTTTCCTACAAGGCAAAATATCTCATTACTTTCCCAAGATCACGTTCAGCACCCACATTTTCCCTCCCCTCCCTGAGGAGAATAAACACTATTGAATATGTTTGGGTCTAACCTGACTCCGCCAGATGGATTTGCT